TTTCTTTATAAATGAGTTTGAACTAAATTCCTTTCGGTGTACTGGATCCTATAGTGGAATTACCTAGGGGCCATCCAGGAAAACTTTCTGATGCTACAAATAAGGGATCAGAGGACAGATTACAAGCTTAAGATTAAAGTGATTGTTGGATGCATGTCAGCAGCAGTTCTTACAGATACTGCAAGTGCCATGTGTAAAATAGGGCTCTAATTTCTGTAATTTTCTGCGCACTTGAGCTATTATGAGCTGATTTCAGTTCCTGTGCATGGAGGAGGACAAACGAGGGGGAACAGGCGCATGATGGTGCAAGCTGCATCCAGAATAGAAACAGCTACATTATATTGCAGATGCTTAGAAAGAGCATCGGCTCCAAATATCCACACAGACAGCATGCTAACACAAAGCAAGCCAATAACCCAGAGTGATGACAAAGCTGAGTCTATGTTGACCCCAACCCAGCAGCCTGACCCTGAACTTGAACAAGTCACAAAGGCAGTAAGTCCGGTTTGCAGCATTGTGGCCTGCATTTCTATCTGTACATCTTTCTATAGTAGAATTACTGTGACAATCACTTTGTAATTGTGTTGAACTGGTTTTCAGCTTTGCAGTGTTCATACATAAACACTAAAAGAAAGAATGGATGTGTGCCCTCATTAGGATAGAGATTTGTGTGGCATGTGGGACTGCAGCCTACGGTTTATATTGTTAACCTGGCAATTATGTGACATCTTATGAAGTAAACTGAAAGTAATGTAACGGGTAGTGTAGCAAATTACTTTCTCCACGAAGTAATTAAGTAACATACTGTATTATTTAGTAATTAGTTGTCGTTTAAAAAAGTGAGTGAGGTCATTTCATGTAGACATGCCACATCATGTTGCCTCTTTGACATAAATGATTTAATTTATCTGAATTACAACAAACAAAAGTATACACAGCCCTGAAGGATTATGAGCAGTGCGGTATGTTCAGCTGTGAAATCCCTTAAGCGCACTAAAACAACCTGCTGCTGTAGTTATGCAGCTGTTATGCAACTGACACGGTTGTTTGAGGTGAACAGAAAATTATATAGAAAAATGAAAGCGTTGGCCCTGCATGCTGCAGCACCGCGATGAGTCTAAGTGTGGGAAGCTGTCTGTGATGGTTCAACAGCCTTGTGAACTGGGTTATTAGAACAGGTAGGAGGGGAAATGTGGATCAAAAATATACTTTAATCATGGACCAAACTCCAGCAACACCCAAAATAGAAACAGTGATTCAGATCATGCATAAGAAAGTAAGACATGATTTGTTACTTTCATCTTCCAGGCTGCCTGAGGTTAAAAGATTTACAAGTTTCTTTTCTTTATCTACATTCTGCTGAAACTATATGATTGATGACTGACTGACTATGCTGAACTAACTTACACCATACCATGTGCAATAAAGCAGATAGTTTGCCAGTGACAGTCTTTAGTTTGCAGACATTTATTTTACAGTACATGATCAAACTCAGAATCACCAAAGTCCTTCTTTCACTTGCCACAGTCAAAGTCACATCTGATATGACTGACTGAGCATCTGCTCATGCCATTCCCGAAAGCTGTCACCACAATCAGCTTGTCACAATAGCCAGCAGTAAAATGAAAGGCAGAGTAAAGCCAGGGCTTTCTTTCCTTTCTCTTGACACAAACTTGAAAATTGTACCGTATGACAAGGTGCTTCACTATGATACATGTATGGTAGTTGTCATTCATTTAAGAATTCTCTTAACTACAACACACCTTTAGCCAGAAAGGAATAAACTGCTTACAACAGTTTACAAAGTCGCAGTGAAAACTGTGTACATTAACACTTGTGAACAAAAACTCATGAAAATGTTAACCCTCTTCATCTTGCAGTGTTATCAGTCCAGATTCAATCAAGGCTGAGCTTTCCTCCCAGTAGGGTCTTAACATAATCCTAGCTGAAGCATGTCAAGTCAGCAAACTGAACTTTTCCGCAAGCAGCTAAGGTTTCCACATGAAACACAAGAAAAAAGTGAAACAGTCGTGCTTTTGTTATACAGTTCTCTCTTTTAATGCATTGTCCCAGTGCTACTGCACATGTGGGGTTCAGAGTTTGTGTTCTTTTCCCAGAAACTGATGATACTGTTTAACTTAAAACACAGTCCATTGCTTCAGCCACATACCTGCCAGCAAGAGACCTCCACAGCTGCCAGATGTTCAACACAGTTCACACATCCAGCAATGTGGTGTCCTGTGAATGCTTAATAAAGAATTTGAACCTCCCTAGGTTAATATGCATACGGTTTTCACTAACAGTACACCAAAAATGCTCTTCCATCACTATCTGCTCAGCTGTGCAGATACTGATGGAAGAATAGGGGAAGAATGGGGGGGCAACTGCGCTGAAATGTCAGTGTGCCTGCAACATGTCACTCAGCAGCTGACAACAGCGACATAAATTGTAACCAGAAGACTTAAAACTGAGGCGCTGCTCTTCCTGGAGGTTTTCTTAGTCAAAACAATCATTTCTTCATTTTTATATGTGTACACTTTTTTAAAAAAAAGCAATTAGAATGAGTCATAACATGCATTAATCTTTCCTCCATGCCATTTACATAAAAATGATCCAGAAAACCGTATGTGAGTGCACAGCTCACCCTGACATTGTCACGCAGAAGCAGCCCACGATTGCCATCTTTGACATGCTTCCCCTGGCAGCCATCACTGACCCTGCATACACAACATAAAGCTAGAACATGCACAAAATGGGAGAAGTCACCCCATGTCATGTCTGAGCTCTGACAAAGGTTTATTCTGAACACCCATTATTATATAACAGCTTTATATGGAAAACATAAAATATGTATCAAGTTTTCCGAAGCCGGCATACATGTCATTTTCGGTTAGCCAAGGTGGAACATGTCTGCTACTGGAGCGTGTCTGCGGACGAGATTTTCCAAACCAGACAAACCACACACACACACTGGCACACACACAGGATTCAGGACGCTCTGAGACGTGGCATTTACAAGAAGGGAAAATAAATAAATAAATCTCCCTTTGAACATCATGGTCTCCAGCATTTGAAAACATCCCATCATAACGTCATTGTGCATGCGTGTGTTGTTACATCACAACTGTCGTTGTTATTGATGGTATTTGTAACTTGAAATGAGCTATTTTACTGTTCAGTAGCTCACTGACCAGAATGCCTACACTGCTACTTCTTTTGACAGGATGATGAAAAGGAAACTACAAAGCATCTGCAAATGCAGCAGGTCTGAAAGTCTTTTGGACATGATGGGTACTCCCGGGAAGAGGCTAAAATATGCCCTTAGCTACATTTTATAAAAATCACCGTAATAAATGTCTCACCACAGACGACTGTTTCTGTGTTGTGTCATGATAATCCAGCAACTCTGAAATGAGTTAAGTTCAAGTTGCATGCATGATAGATCTGTTTTATCTAGAATGACATCACCCACCATTAGTGTTATAGTGTTATGCCAAGCCCCATGTATGGACTCCCTTTGTAGAATTGAATTACTTTATGGTTTGCACTGTATGCATTAGTGCATGCTCACGTTGAATGGCACTTCAGTTCTGTTTAGTACAGACCAGCATGTGTCTGCGGAAAAGCACTACCAAGTACCAAATTGAAAAAAAAAGTGCTGATAGAGCATGCTTTGTCAGATTTTTTCTTATCCCTCTAAACATCACATTGATGTTACACAGATAGGCACATTTTTACCAGACAAGCAGTTTGACTCCCAGTAATTTCAGGATTCATAATCCTCATCGTATTCTTGCCCAACTAATGTTATTCCCATAATGTTAGCAATCTAACTTTACACTAAGATACTGAAGCTTACCTTCTAAACATCAGCATAGTGGAAGTGCCAGCATGCACACAGCACGTTAGCATGATGAGTGCAGCGTGTAGCTTACACAACCACCTCACAGAGTCTCCAGGAATTTCTTTGTTTTCCACTGCATTGTGGAAGAGTTTTTGTATATCATTTGGGAAACCATTAAACATCTGAGAAGTTGTTTGTTTGCTTGTTTTTGTTTTAATCTGCCATTGAAACTGTAGCTGAGTTTTGGCCATTCGGAGATGAAAAGCTGTAAACAGTTATAAAGATATTTTCTTTCAGTTGGATTACTGGTCAATGAAAAGAACTCAATGAGCTCAGTGCAATAAACCCAATATTTGAATTTATATCAGCCTCTCAAAGAAATATCTTGAATTTTGGGCTGCTAAATACTCTGCTTAAACTAGGCCTATTGGCATTGAAGCAGCCATTAAAATCACACAATATATTAGCACACGGACTTGATATAATGATATATTTAAATATTTTTCCCTCCTTAAAACTAAAACTTTGCCATAAAAGGATCTTTAAATTTCAAAGGAAGTCTTGTCTTCCAGCACTGAAACAAGAGCTCATATTGATTCAGTCTTTGATGAGGACATCAAAAACCAAAACACGAATAATCACAGGCTCTGTGTAAACTTAGTAGATTAGCAGTGATATGGATGAGCCTGATGCAGAAGTAGCCTCCAGCACAAACGGTTATGAGTCAGCAGTATATCCCAGACATTTGCAAGGCATACGACTCCCTGTACAAGGCACGGACGACAAAAATCTTTGCAGGAATTAGTTGAGCTGCTTGACTGTGTCCTATTCCCCTCAGGCTCTTTTTCTTTTTTGTCATACACATGATAGAAATCTCTCCACAGGACACTGCTGTTAAAGGACTGTGTGTGCGCCGATTCCTCGCATGCTCAACAAATACTACATCAAAATGCACTTATGGTAGTAGAATCATTCAACTGAGATGTTTAGAGAGAACAGGAAATAAAAAGCTAGTATTAACTTAAATGATTTCAAGTCCAGTTATATTCAAAATAATTTAACAGGTAGCATATTTCTTGCTAGTCTATTTTTATTATAACGGATTATTAAACAGACATTGTTTTCTCTATTTATTAAGCAAGAAACCCAAACTTACCTATAATTGACGCTGACAAAACTTAATGAGATGCTAACAAGCTCAGAACATGTGGATGCTGAGTGATGAGCAATATCTCCAGACCTCCATCAGCTCAAAGTCCTGTGGAAGTCTACTGTCCGGTATGCAAATACCCAGAACCCCAAAGAAGCAGCTTCCAGCTCTGAAGCATCCCAGCCTCTGTCCGATGCCTGGATCAAAGTGGGACTGCTCTCTTCCCGCTTGCATAACAATACTCTAGACACATCCTCAGCTGCTGCTGGTGCCTGTGGATGGGACTACTTAGCTACCAGGCGATCTCTCTCTGACTTGCAAATGGACCTGGCACTGTTCCAGTCCAAGTCTTTCTGAACAAAAGTGCTGAGCTTAAACTGGGTCGTATACCTGGTGAAACGCTCATAAAACAGCTGCATACTCTGCACTTAGTAATCTCTGGCGCTTTCTGTCACTGCATAGCTTGGCGGGTTGCGTATGCATCTTTTCTGCCTGGCGCTCAATGTCCTGAGTCACAGCTAGAGCCAGTGAACTGGACTAATTTGAATTGTCAATGCATGTTTGTAGTTGGCTGCCTACGGGGCACAGGCAACACGACCCCTACTGAGAATCTGGGCCAAAGGAAGCCGGCTCAGAGGTGTCAGCTCGGGGAAAAAAACTGAATGACAGGAGCGATGATATGGTGACAGCATGGGTTCACACATTTTTTTCCTCATAATCTTTGAGGCTGGGATTACAAACTGTGACTAAGACACCCCTCTCTGTGTGGTACAACCAAATATTAGAAAGCGAGTCATATGATCAGCTTACAAGGTTGAATATGTGCAGGCTAAGGACATGTAGTAAAATATAACTAAAATTAACCTGTGCTGAAAGCAATGAAACTACACACTTCAAACGGGTGTGAAGGCAGAGGGCAATGAGTGATTTGATGGTGGGGTACGCCATAATTCTCGCACATTTGAGAAAATTGCCTGCCCTTGAAGTTAAATCGCTCTGCAGGATGACTTAAGTTCACAAGGGGAGATTATAGACTGTGGCAGTTTAGAAATTAGACCCCTATGTCCTCTGTGTCTGAGTCTTAAACAGGCGATAAGTGAGGATTACAGTCAAAGATGTGCACTGGCTGGACGCAGAAATTTTCAGAAAACTGTAATTAATCCTCACGCTGCACAGATACTCCACACGTTTGCTGTCTGACCTTGAGAGATACAAATTGCTATCTACATTATAAGATCCCTCGCACAGGGCTGAACATAGTCACAGCTTAATTAAAGGTGCCAAGATAAACAATCAGTATTACAAGCAGGTACAAACATCTCAAGTGAACTGCAATGATAAAAAAAAGTCCTTCATCGTCTTACGTACCCTTGCACGTTACTAACTGTGCACTTCACACTCTGATGTTTGCATGTGCTGCCTCAGATAATAAGCCTTGTCACCTTTTGCATCAGCATACAGCACATATAACACAGACAGAAAAACGGGTGTGTCTCAATCATAAGCTCTGCCCATATGTGACCTCTGCTGGCTAATTCATGTAGCTACATCTCTACGCCTCTCATTATGGCCACAGTGCGTGCTGCAAAGCAGGACTTGGCAATGGATTCAGTAAAACATCAAACTGCTGCTCCCTGAATCAGACAGAGAGGATTGTTCAGTGCTGAAGTCCTGCCAAAAATCCCTCTAAACACAATTATCTCCTTCCCACCCCACTCTAAATGCATCCGATGTTTTTGCTGAACAAATCACGGTTATATTTTTCCATCCTAATCTGCTCTAATGACATTAGACAAAACATTGCAAACACGTTTGGTTACTTGTGTTTAAAAAGCTATTTTTGCTTTCTCACACAAAATAATAGAGATTCAGAATGGAGGGAGAACAGGTTTACTGCTAAAAAGTTCAAATTCAATACACTTTTCAATGTGCCGAAAAGGGCGCCTAGTGCAACCAATGACTTTTGCATCAGTCTGATCCTTAAATGCAATATTTAAGGAAGTTAATCAGAAAATTACAAAACAATGTTGTTTATTATTTCCTTTTCTTTTCTTTATGTCTTTTTCCTCTTTCTCTGTTTGATTAAATGGTGTGGAAAAGGTCAGCAAAAAGTAAAAACTTGCCGTAAAAACTTATAAAGATGAAGGTAACATATTAAAGCGCTTGTTTAAACTAAAGGTATAAGGTGAAATAAAACCAGAAAGTACTCTCATTAGAGAAGCTCAGCTGTGTAAATTTTGCTTATATAATGACATAGATTACTTTTAAAGATTCCTCAACTAAACAGTTTAATCTTAAGTAGTGAAATGAAAACAAACACAAAAACAACCAGTGAAAAATTGGAAAAAATTAGGCTACATGAGGTTGTTTTGGCAGAAGTAACATATGACAACATGAACCAAACTATGAATATCAATCAGTTGAATACGAAACACTGCTGTGTACCCAGCCAAACACACCAACACAACACAAACACATTCTCAGTGTGAAGTCAGCTCACCTCTTCCTCCTCACCTGATAACTGGCAAAGCTTCTGCAAGAAATGTTGCCAAAAGCAAGATCATTAGCAAAGAAGTGCTGGATTTAAGTCAGGTGTTTTGTTTTGTCTTTTAAAAAAAGGACCAAATTCCTCCATGAGACTTCAAGAGCAATCACTGCTCCTCCACACACTGATGGATGGACCACAGCCCAGCTCCGTCACTGCCTCTTATCATGCTTTCCCTCTCAGTCTGTGCTCTTCCTCTGGATTAATCCATTGAGTAGCTGTCACTCCACCCCTCTCTTCCTCTCGTTTCCCTCTCTGTCATGAGCCTAATCACATGTGCACATACTCTACAACTAGCCAAGGCGGATGTCCACAGAGCAGAAACAGAGGGCTAGTGTTAGCCAATGGCAGGCTATAAATAGGCTTCTTGAGTTCATCATTGTCTCTTCGTATGATGGTGAAGAGCCTGGAGGGCTTAGAGGGAGGGAGAAAGGCACAGCATCACTATCTGCTGGCTTTTACTTCTCTCCTTGCATCGGCTGTAATCTCCATATCGGTTTCACTTCTCCTTATCTGTCTCTTTCATAGGGAGATATCTGAACCTAGCATCAATCATGTTTACGAATGAACGACAAAGCAAAAGATTAAAAAAATAATCCAAAATACAAGAAACGGTGACTCTGTGTTACGATTTACTGAATAGTGGGATGATTTATATCATACCGTGCATCAATCTCTTCCATCTGAAAGGTCATGCGTGCATTTTTTTTTTCCACCAAGAAGGGGAATGCCTTCTACAATTGTTGAATGTCACAGTGCACAAGATCAGCAGCAAAATGTCAGCAATTGTTCTTAAAGCAGAAGCAGGTAAATGTACATGCACACAATATGCAAAGCTGCTAGTCTGCCATAATAGACGTACAGACATGTTTAGCTTCAGTTCTTTTTCACATGTCTGTTGCTTTTATGAAATTTTATATTTCAACAAACAAGATCAGCTTTCAGCTGGCTGAATGTTTAAATATAGCGTGATTAAGTTAATTCATTTCAGTTCAGCTAGTTTTTGATAATAACATATATTTTATGTCAGTGGTACAAAAGGAGATAATAATAATGACATAACAGAAACAAAATAATCAAACACACTGGTATCAGCACTGGTTCAAAATGTCACAACTAGTGCATTCCTAAACATACATTATGGGCAAAAGTATTGCACCACAGCTCTTAACTTTTAAATGAAAGTGTTTTCAGTCTTAAATCAAGCAGACTGCCTTCACCACCGTTTGTGAAATAATAGGTTGCTCTAAAGAATCAAATTTGAGCATGGCATTGTAATAGGATGTCACTTTCCTCCTAGGTTTTCCACGATGAGCTGTAAGTGGTATTATTGCAAAGTGGGAGCATTTAGGAACCACAGCAAAGTGGGGATAACAAGTTCTGAGACGCATAGTGCATAAAAGTCTCCAATGCTCTGCTGACTCAACAGCAGAATTCTAAACATCCTCTGGCATTAACATCAGCACAAAAACTGTGCACCAGTAGCTTCATGGCCAAGGAGCTCCTGTAGGTGTAATGTGTCGGTGGCCCAGTACTTTTGTCCATATAGTGTACATGTGAAGTGAATGCAACTCGAGAGAAATATCTAATTAACTACTGCCCACAAAGTTGCATCAATCACTTAAACTCAATGATGTCTTTGAAGAAAGTACTGAAGGGAAACGAGCGTTGCATCTCTTTAGTAAAACACCTTGTAAGGAAACAGTACAAACTGTATCCTTTATTCATGCTTATCTGAGAGAAGGAATGTGTGCAAGCACTACAAAAAACTGGGATGTGCACATTTTTCCCATTTAGACAAACACAAATGTCTTTCTCCCTGAAGAATAATAGTAATGCTCTTATCTAAAGGCAGAACCAAAACAGTTAAAGCTGCTCTCAGCTACAAAATGGCAGAAAAATGGATTTTATTTTATTATTTTTTTTTAAAGGTTCCTAAATATTTCTAATGGGTTTCTTTATTGAAATGAAAAGTTCTGCTGCTCTTTTGTGCTATTTCATTGGTGGTTTCTCTAGTGCACTGTTACTTCTATGGTTACAAAGAAAGTAAACCTAAAACATATTTTTTGTCACTGGGACTTGTGGAGGATGTACTTTATATCTTGCTTAGTTTTCTCAGAATTTTATTCAGTCTTTTTATATTCTAATGATTTTCTTTGCTTATGTAACGTACTTCAAAATACATTGTTTGGAAAAAAAAAAAAATGCATTTCCATTGCCCTGCCTTTCTTCCTCTTGTTCTTCTTTCAGGTGCCTTTAGGGGTCAACAACAGCTCATCTGCTTCCATCTCACTCTATCCTCAGGACCATCTTCTGTCACACCACCCCTCTGCATTTCCTCCATCACCACATTCATCCCTCTATGAGGTCTTAATCATTCTCTGTTGCCTGGCAGCTCCATATTCAACATCCTTTATCCAGAATACCTACTATTCCTCCTCTGCACATGTGCAAACAATATAAGCCCTGTCTCTCTGTTGCTTTGATCGTGTGTGTGTGTGTGTGTGTGTGTGTGTGTGTGTGTGTGTGTGTGTGTGTGTTTAAAAATAAGTCATTAAATGATGTTTATCAATTTATTCAATTCTCAAAGCTCTCAAAATTCAACCTTTTACCTCTTCTTACCACTTGGGACAATGAGTGTGCAAACTTACAAGTTGCAGACATTTAGTAATTTGATTCAAGAACACAATATAAAACACATGCCAAGACAGTGAATCTTCATTCCTTCTCTCTCCCACCCTCCCATCTCTCGATAACTACTCATTATCTTCCTCCTCCTCTTCCTCCCTGCATCTCTCTCCCTCCGTGTCTTTTTGTCACAGCTCCTCCCTCACTTCAACATGGGCCTCCCTCTGTTTCTCTGCTAACAAGTGTCTCTTCTCAGCTCAGCTGTCTCACAGTTTCATCAGACACCCACCGAGAGGAGCGTCGCTTTGACTTGTTACGGGTAAGATAAATTTGAATAATTTTTTTATATCTCAGCACTTAATCATACAATTTCACGCTGCAGCACAAATTTGTCTTTACTTTGTGCAAGCAAGAAATGCACGATGGAAGTTTTACTTGACATTGAAATGTTTTTGGGGGTTTTTTTGTTTTTGTTTTGTTTTTTTTAAATTGGGAAGTAAATATATTAACATAAAAGAAGCACTGTAGACATACAATTTAGAAATAGTCAAGAGGCTTTTCCTGAGCATCAGTAGCACTGGCATCCAATAAGAAATAGCTGCTGTTTAATAGCTAAAAATACCTTCAAACAAACTTTCATTTTTTGAGACAGTTTTATGTGTGATTAGAAATAATTAACTATACTTTAAAAAAAAAAAACAATGTTGGATCGTCAAAAGTTGTTAACAATGTTGTTGTGACTACAAAACAAATCGAAAGTAGATTATTTGATTTCTCTGTATGACAGCACGAGCCAGGCATATCTGAAATGTCACATAGTGTGTTTGCCATTAAAACGCTTTGAATTTTTGAAACCCAGAGCGATATTGATGTGGTGTTTATACAGAGCCTGACGTCATTTTATCTGAGTAAGCTGGTTTAGTGCTATCTAAAAAATGCAAGATACTTTGCATTTTACAATAAGGACTGAACAGCCCTTCTGTTATCCACTCAACCCAGCAGGCTTAAACTGGAAAACGGAAGAAAGAGCAATATATCAAAGAAAACGGGTGCTTCTCCTTTTATAGGAATTGTTGTATCTAGCCTCAAGTGCTGCAGAAGGCCTCTGTCTGCTGACCAAGAATGATCTGAACATTATATATACAGTGGATGAGAAATATACATAAGCAGCTCTTCTGTGTGTTTGCAGAATGCCTTTAGGGGGAGGAAATAAGTGTGGCTGCTGCCAGAAACCTGTCTACTTTGCTGAGGAAGTGCAGTGTGAGGGAAAGAGCTGGCATAAATCCTGTTTTCTGTGCAGTAAGTATTGAGAATTTAAGGTAATCCGAATCATTTCATCAACAACTTTTTTAAAATCATAAGAAGTGCCCGGCAGGAATGCAGAGTATTTGGCATCACAGGAGTAAAGTGAGCATCCACAGCTTTTCACTAAGACATCTCAGTCCTTATTTGGATCCACTGCAAACATGTGACAAATACTTGGGCTTCCTTTTATGGCGAAGGAAGGTACACACACTCAGTCTCAAACACTGAGCAGTATTTATCTGAGACAGTCACTGTGGTATACACCTTTCCCTTCTGTCACACAGACTTTGTGGGTATGCTACAGCTAAACATCTGTTTTTAAAAAAAATGGTGGCTTGTGGTGGGTGGCTGCTTTTGAAAGATAAGCTCGTGCTGTAGATGCTTGAGAACTAACGAAAGAAAACTATGTGTATATTTGTTTTTGTTTTTCCATTTATCTCTGTTTTAAGTGGTGTGTAAGAAAAACTTGGACAGCACAACTGTGGCTGTTCATGTGGATGAGATCTACTGCAAATCGTGCTATGGCAAGAAATATGGGCCAAAAGGCTATGGCTACGGAGGTGGAGCTGGCACGCTGAGTATGGATACGGGAGAGGGTCTTGGAATCAAGCCTGAAGTGTGAGAAAAACATCACTTCCTCCTTTCTTTAACTGCTGAAACATTCAGATATATAACAAAGAACTCTATAATCAAAACAAAGACTAATATTTTATTTATGTTTGATTTACCACATGATATAATAAAACACACCAAACCTCTTTAGGTTCTGTATTTAAAGCTTAAATGACAGATGAGTACGAGGAAAGTTTACAAGGAAAGAATTTCTTTTTCTTAATTCCATATGAAAAGCTTTTTTTTTTTTTTTTTTCTAATGGCAGACAAGCTCCTCATCGCCCTACAAATAACCCCAACTCCTCCAAGTTTGCCCAGAAAGCAGGAGGCTCAGACGTGTGTCCACGCTGTGGGAAAACAGTGTATGCAGCAGAGAAGGTTGTTGGGGGAGGCAATGTAAGAAAGAGAAAAGCTGCAGTCTCAATGTGCAGTCTTGTTTCAAAATAAAAGTAGATGACGATTTAAAACATTTCTTTCACGTCTCTTCAGTCATGGCATAAGAGCTGTTTTCGCTGTGCCAAATGTGGAAAAGGACTGGAGTCCACAACCCTTGCTGATAGAGATGGGGAGATCTACTGTAAAGGTTTGTGTATAAAAGTATTATATAAAAGACAGAAATATCCCCAGGTTCACACTGATTAAATATGGAAAATGCCATTTTTTCCTTGTGTAATAAGTGTATAGTAATTATATTATATTACCATAGTTTAATTACCAAATAAAGACCTTAAACAGACATGTCAGTTTATAACTGACAAAATAATAAAGCATATTAAACACTTCCCATCTCTCTGTTCAAAGTCACTCAACTGAGTAACTTGGTTAAAAGACAAAATAACATTGAAAATCACTATGATATCTCTGGTAATGTGTAACTATGTTTGAGTTGAACTGCATGTCCACTGCTAAATTACTTGAGACAGATGCTCAAATGGCAGCAGCTCTGACACATTGACCAAGATTTCATTAAATTTATGCATTCGGTTTTTTGTTTTTTTTTTTTAAATTAACACCAATTCTAATGACAGGCCTCATTGACTTTATGACTGTAAGGCCAATCCAATATTTAATGATCAATGAGGCCAATCCAACGCTTTGTGTGATATTCATTAATCACAGGAACATTTCAGTAGACAATTAAGAATATGTTTTCCACACATTCCTTCTGTCTTCCATCAGAAAGCACTAACACGTTTATGCATTGCAAAATGGTCCACTATAGGTCTTTCTCAGTTCTAAGTTCATGCATTCGTAGTAAACCCTTGACAAACAGCAATAAAATTAGAATTTCCCAGTATATAGTTAATATTTTTTATGCTTAAATGTTGACATCCTTATCAAGCTCATAATTCCAGCATTAGTTCTATATTCTATATACAAATTATGCACAGGATTTCTCATTCATTTTAATTTCCTTTACAGGTTGCTATGCAAAGAACTTTGGTCCAAAGGGTTTTGGCTTTGGTCAGGGTGCAGGCGCTCTTGCTCATTCCCAGTGAAGCCTGAAGCCTTAGCTCACCTGGGACTGTCATCTGGTGGGCTCTGATATCACAGCTTCTGGGATCTCTCAGTCAACATGTAGCTTATTTCACTCTGCCCTTTCACTTTAGCTACAGGCAATGAAAAATGAAAGAAGCACACATCAGCAGCTCTTTGAAAATAATCACCAAGCAGAGTCCGCTCCTTACTTGATGTTGCATTAGACTCCAGTGTCCAAGTCCAACCCCAAGTCCAAAAAAGTTGGGATGTGTATGGGTTATAAATAAAGATGGACAGAAGTGATTTGCAAATCTCATAAATCTATATTTTATTCACAATGGAACACAGAAAAGGCATTACATACTTAAAATGAGGTATTTTACTTTTTCATTAACATTTTAGGTCATTTTGAATTTGCTGGCAGCAGCATCTTTCAAATAATTTGGGATGACGACAGCAAAAGTGCAAACGTAATACTAAAAAACACAAAGCAGTAGGAACAGAGATTCAACAATCTGGAAAACACTCCACAAATTGATGATCAGTATTCTGAAATTTTACCAGAAAGTAATATACCATCATCAAAAGATTTAGAGAATCTGAAGAAATCTGTGTCCAAGGGACAAAAATGAAAATCAGTAGTGGAATCATGTGATCATCAGTAAACTCAGCGGGACGACATTAAAAACATAACGGTCATGGATATCACCTGCATGTGCTCAGGAACACCTCTAGAAACCATCGTCTCTCAACAGTTCACTGTGTCATCCACACATGCAGGTTAAACCTCTATTATCCAAAGAAGTGCCAGATGTGAATACCATCTAGAAGCACCACTGTCACAATTAGAATTTCCCAATTCTGGGACTAATAAAAGCCATCTTAACTTGTGCCAAAACTCCTTTAAAAATCAAATTAGTTATTTATTTGGTCAAATGATTAAAAGTTTAAAAATTATTTTTTGGGAAATATGCGCACTGCATCCTGTGGACTAAATAATGGACCATTTGACTTGTTATTAGTGCTCCATTTTAAAGCCTGCACATCATTAGCGGTGAAATTGGCTTCTTGCACATCTGGAAAGACACCATCGATGCTGGAAGACAAATACAGAGTTTACAGAAACAATTTCCAGACTTGTATGGACCGTTAAAGGAAGACGAGTTGGTACACAGTGGTAAACACGGCCGTGTCACAACTTGCTTGGGACAAGGCTGTAACATGTTTTTGCTGTCAAATTCAAAATGACCATATTTTATTTTAAAAAATTGTACATTTTCTCAATTTACACATTTGTTATGCTTTTTATATTCTGTTGTGAATAAAATGTGAGTTTGAGATTTGCAAATCATTGCATTCTATTTACCTGATTACATTTGCTACATTGACACAAGTGTAGCAAACACATCTACAAATGTTACACTGACATCTAATTCTACTTTACTAGAAACACAAAGTGTGCACTCACTGAGTAGTTAACAATTTGGCTTAAACAGCACTAGAACGTGTACACAAAAGCAACCTGGCTTATCGAGTGCTAAATTTAAATAACATCTAAAAACAATAGACAACAAGAACAAAAGAAGAAATACACTTATACACTGACAACTGTGAGAAAACAGTCTTAAATCATGCCTCAGTTACATTGGTGCTGAAGCTTTTCTTACTGCCGAATGTTATAAATAATATCTTAAGAAATGCATTTTTTTGCTTTAACACAAAATAAATGTAATGGCAAAAACAAACAGTAAGTTTGAAAGTTTTCCTTACTTGTCGTAGTGCAAAGTTTTTCATTGTTGTTTTTTTATCTGCTACTCAGATCTGATTAAATCAGCATGCATGTTTATGTGATCTCAAGTGTGCTTGATATTCTTTCTAAATGATCATCTAACTTAACAACATGCCAGTTGTTGTGGTGAACAACAGAGCCATAGTATTCAGCCCCATCTCTGGCTGCACCGAGGAGTTGGCACACTGGTCAAAGCGCTATGCAGCTGTGGTGGTGGTATTTGTAGAGGAGCTGTTTATTTTGGCACCATCTATAATATGTGTGAGTCACATCGGCAACAAAACTACAGCAGAAAGTCACGCAAACGTCAAAGTGTTACAGGGAAAAGCGTAACTCTTTCATTTTGTTGATATGCTTACATAAATATACACTAGTCACCAGAATGTTATGGCTAATATTGTGTAGGCGATCCAGTTGCAGCTGAGGGTTTCCTGTGGTGTCTGCTATGGACTGAACTTATTCTCTCCATCCTTCATTCTTTCTTTGCAGATTATTTGTGGATCTAGCCTGGGTGGCAGTTGCAGTCCTGTTTCTTAAAACCAGTGTTTTGTTATGTGTTGTTTGGGAGTGCCATTGCCGTAGGGATTTCTGCCATTTTGGAACAATGTTTATGTGGGTGGTAACATACAGATAAGCGTCAGTACTCAAGCTTTTTGAATCGACTGTTGCCTTTTTAAACAGCATTATTAATCACACATCCCTCGTCTGTGATTTTAATGGTGCAGCAGTTTGTGTTAAATAGGAAAACCCCACAGATCCCCTTAAGCCAGTTTCTGTAGAAAGCAACAAAGTAGCACTCCATCACAATAAGATGCCTTATTCAATTATCAATAGGTCTGTCTTTAAATTTCTCCATACATTGAAGTAATGTTGGTGTACTTGTTATACACTACCATATCACATTAAAAATCCAAGAGCAAAGAAGGGAATATGCTGTCATGTGACCACTCAGTGACAGGGCACTCAGTTCTATGTCATATCAGACTTTACAGAACAAGTACTGGTACTTTTAAAGCACTACAGTTTATCCACATACACAGTAATACAACCTGAATCATTCGGTTGACATTTTAAAGTTTTGTCTTAGAAAAAAAATTAACAAAAAACCCCCAGAAAACACCCAGAGACTAGTGCGATGTACACCACATAATCCCTTTTCATCTGTATTCATCCTTCCTGCTTCCTGGAAACAGTGCTACACTCAGAGGACTGCCGATTCTGCCATATATGCTGTGGAATTAGAATCAGCTGCCATGAGCTAGGAGGGCAACTCAAATCAGATGCAGGGATTGAGTCCTGACTTAGTGAGAGCAAAAGATTATTTCCTGCATAGTCCATTTCACATCCTTGCTTCAAAAATAATAAATAAATAAGACACAGCTTACATTATAACTGAAAGAGTACAAACACATTGTTCTCTCGCTATAGTTTTGAAAAACGAAATGTTTTCCCAGCTTTCAGTCATCACTGGGTGACAGGCCTGGGCTGTCCCAAGTCCCAGTCTTGCCTTTTGATCTGCCCCTTTATAAAAAGCAACACATCAAACAAATACAACCATCAATTTCAGAGTCTTCTGATTAAAGATGACTGTTGGTGTCCCTTACTTGACAGAGCTTCGACAGAGTTACTTTGTCAAATAACTGTTTGTGTTCCAGCAGTCAGGATGTCCACTGGACAGGTGCGTAGCTATTTGATTGACCTCTGTCAGCAGAAGACTGACTATAGACTGCAAACTCATGGCAACCACCCTCTATCCTTTCTGGCTGCTGCAGTTCCTGATATTGACAGCATATATGGAAACAATATAGTGCCCCACTTCTGGTCACATGCGACCAACAGGTGGTGCCCGTTATCCAGCAGATCTAGGCTTTAGCAAATATACAGCCACATGTTTTAGGCTCTGTGGATGGTTATATCTGGCTGTCTGTGTGAACTCTAGATCAAAGCTGCTGTATCAAATCAGGACTTTGTTAGGCTATTATGTACATGACTGACTTTCAAACTGGACTTTCATGTTTGTTGTACTAAGTGGAGCGTATGTCAGTAACACAAACATCGCCCAGGCACAAATAATTTCATGGATTACTTTAAGGACTTACTGTCCTTGTGAGTGTGAACTGAGCACACAAATGTGTGTTCACAAAGACAGCCATATTCATCTGTGTTTTTATTTTGCTTGGAGCACACAAACCCCCAAATACAAAGCATGCACACAATTGCAGACTGAGACCCAGTATCAAAGAGTGGCAGCATCACACGGTGTTGCAATTTGTCTATGTTTAGTTGTGAGGCCGTGGCCAAATGAACACTGGAAACTGCATTCCTGTCTTAAAACCAAGGGCTTAATGTTGTCTGCAGCCATTATCCTAATCAGACCAATGGGGCCCTTCAGTCTCAAAGGGGACATGGCAAGTCTCCAGTATCTTTTTCAATAGCCACAGAAAACCTCAGAAAATCATCTGTACTAACAAGACAGACTGTGGGCTGCTTTATAGTTGATTTAACTG